TAAAATACTTGAAAAAACTAGACCTACAATTATACTCAGATAGAAATGGGTCAAGACCACAGGCACAGGCATGGTGAGTGGCAGGTAACTGAGGCAGACACCAATCTGGAGAGAGTAATGTTTCAGTGAAGGACCTAAGTTGTCATCAACAGCCTCAAAAGCTACAAGGATTTGGTGAAACCCTGTGCTTTTGTTACAGGTGCTGTTAGTATCCAACACTGACCTTTGTGAGAGGTGGAAGTTAGTCAGGAAGGCCCAGGTATTAGTCCTTTGAGCGCTTCTTTGAATATCTCTGGAACTCACCACTTTTTTTTTTTTTATCCTCACCTGAGGACATTTTTGCATTCATTTTCAGATAGAGCAAGAGGGAGAGAGGGAGGAAGAGAGAGAGAGAGAAACATCGATGTGAGAGAGACACATGGAGTGTCCACCACCCACACTACCCCAACCAGGGCCAGGGACCGAACTGCAACTGAGGTATGTGCCCTTGATCTGAATCAAACCCGAGACTCTGGTCCACGGGCGGACACTCTAACCACTGAGCCAAACCGGCCAGGGCACTACAGTGACCTTTAGCAATAGCCCCTGTGTGAGATCAGCAGTGTCTGCACCCCGGTTGGTTACGAGGGTCCTGACACACGAGGTCTTCCCAAAACAAAGGAAAAGTTTGACCCCAAGACAAATATTAGTCTCTGCCCCTGGAGACCGAAACTATCTACAACACTTGAAAAACAAACCAACAAGAAAGATATTTAAGTTCTGGCCATCAGGCAGGACATATAAAATATGTATTGCATTACTTAATCGTTATAAAAATCCTATCAGGTCTACGTGATTATCTCCATTCTAGAGATGAGAAAAACGGAGGCTTTGGGACACTGAGTGACTCACTGAGGTCACAGGGCAGCGGGGCCATGATTCAAACCCTGGTCTAAAGCCTTCAGGCCTTCGCCAGGATTCTGTCCTGCAGGCCGACATTAACAGAAAGGGCCGGCGTGGGAACTCGGATACAGTTCATTCCAACTGGCCTTCCTGCTCCTTACAGACCACAGTCATTCTGAAGAAGCCATATCCGAATAGGCTGACCTTTGTGAGAGGTGGAAGTTAGGGAGGCCCAGGTATCAGTCCTTGGAGCGAAGGAAATTATTTATGTAAAGACACACAGAATACATTCCTAAGTGTTAGTTTCATCATTTAATCTTTTAACTTTATTCATGCTCACATTGAAGGTATTTTCTCCACGTCCTGTATTTGTAACTCATGTATTTGTCCCAATAACCACACAACCTACTGAACCACCCGGGGAGGGCCCTCCTTGTGCAGACTGCAAGGCCCCTTCAGCTGCCCTGCGACACTCCGTGAGGATTCAGCCAAGTCGTGGGGTCCTGCGAACTAGCTGACGCTTATTCTTAGTTTCGGGGAGTGTGGGAATGGACTTCTCGCCAGAATCCTGCCCTGGTATTCCAGGTAACTGACCACAGGCACTGGCCCATTCTATGCTGTTTATAGAGAGTGACAAAAATAGTCTCAATCCTCTGAAAGGTGTGTCTGTGCCACATGCCCACTGGCCTCCCACCACCCGACAGAGGCTTCTCTCCAGACCTCAGGAGGCAGCAGGGCTGGGTCCTCACGCAGACCCAATGCTCCATGTCCCTCGTGTGCACGCTACCCCAAGGCACCCAGGGCCTGGGGAGGCACCAGCAGGGCCTCAGGGCGGGGTCAGGGCAGGACGGGGTCAAGGCAGAACCTAGCTCGAGTAGCAAGGAAGAGGGCAGAGCGTGGGAGGGGGAGTAATAAGGGAAGACTGAACCCAGCTATTGGAATTGGGTGCAGAATCAGGGTGGGATCACGAGCATCTGACCTGAATCCGAAATGTGAACGCCCCAGACACTTATTGGTCTCCAAGCGTGGGATGGCGCTGACGCTGGGGATGGAGAGATTAATGGACCAGCTGAAGGGGCTGGAATGTAGACAGACTCTGCCCCTTTCTAGCTGCTCGCAGGTGAGCCCCTTACTTCATCTCTGGGCTTTTCCTTATCCGAGGGGTGGGCCTAGACGTGCAGCACTATGGTAGGTGTGCGCCTCAGAGTCACCCGGCAGCTGCGGAACTCGGGTGGCTGGGCCCCTCCTTGCAGACTGATTCAGGAGGTCTCGGAGGATCCTGGGGTCTGCTGCTTTCCCAGGTTTCCCAGGAGATTCTGAGCCACACCAGTGTTGTAGAGCCCTGTACTGCATGATCCCCAAAGGGTCTTCCAACTGCAACACCCCTTTATTTTCAAGTTTACTAAATCAGGGATGAGAACGCATGGGAGGCAGGCGTTGGCCTCGTGTGCTGCTTAGGGGGCATCAGAAGCACACGCTGTATCAGTCGCTTTTTGCATCATTCTAAGACTTCATCAACTGGGAGGTTGTTCAAAGCCAGCTTTTCACTTGCGAGGCTATAAACGTGGGCTCACGTTGACCCCTTCTATATTCTCCCCTAGGAGATCTCTCTCTCCCCAGAGGTCATAAACTCGGGGCCAGAAAGACAAATCTAGGCAAACCACACATGAATTTAATTTAGTCTGCCCAGTAGTTTTTGTAAGTCCGAATCTGTCTGGGGTCAGACTGGGCATTTGCTTTCTACTGACCACAGGCCCACCACACGTGGGGGTCACACCAGCCAGCTCCCACCCTTGACTCTACCTGCCTAGGCCCTGATTTAAGATCAGAGTCAGTCTCTCAATGCCTGTCTCCAGCTCAAACCTCCTTCTGAGTATCAAACCATGTATCCAAATGCCTTCTGGCAAGGTAGTCCAGTCTGTGTACTTAATGGAAGGCCTGGCATCTAGTACAGGGCTGAGTAAGTGTCATTTAGTAATAGGTATGATTAACCCTACTGTGCACCTCCTCTAATCCCACAGGCACCTCACAACCTATTCAAAACAGAGCTCATCACGTTCCTCACCTTCACTGCAAGCTTCTCCTCCACAAATGAAGTCATCAGTGAGTCGCCTAGACTGAGAGACATCAGGGCTCTTTCGTCTTCTTCATGTCGATTTATCATCCAACCCTATGCAAAATATCCACTTATTTTCTCTCCTGGAAAATGGAAAAGATGAGACCTTTGTGGCAGGGCTGTTTTGAAAACTGAATATAAAATGTAATGCACCCAGCATCGCCTGGCTGTCGATGGCATTGTTTAAAAGTACCTCTGCATTTAAATTATTTAAAGGCGTTCTGGCTGGGCTCAGAGGCAAAAGAGCTCATGAGATCCGGCTCTTGGTGGGAAGAGGTGCTATTGCCTTCCTGTCGGTGCCCTAAAAGAACGAGGGACGTGGCAGAGACATAGGAAAGCAAAGCAGCAAAGCAGCATGGGAAATGAAAGCAGGGGGATTTGGTTCACTTGGGTCTTGGAGTTACCCTGAGGGCAAGGTTTTTCTCCCCTTCTCCTACCCAGGGATCCCTGAGGAAGGCCCCCAGGGAGGGCGGCCAGAGGCAATGTCCAAAGGGGGGTCCCAGAAGGAGCTGGGTTGATCCAGCCTGCTTATCTCTCCAGGGCTTTTCAAACAAATGGAATTCAGAGTCAGACATTTTATATATATATATATATATATATATATATATATATATATATATATATATTTTTATCCTCACCCGAGGACATTTTTCCATTTTTTTGGTACAGATAGAGTGGGAGGGAGGGAGAGGAAGAGAGAGAGAGAGAGAGAAACATCGACATGAAAGGGACACATCGAGTGGCTGCCACCCGCACGACCAACCAGGGCCGGGGACAAACTGCAACCGAGGTACGTGCCCTTAGCGGGAACCAAACCTGGGTCTCTCTGGACTGCAGGCCGTCACTCTAACCGCTGAACCAAACCGGCCAGGGCCAGAGTCAGACATTTTAAAATGTAACATTTTTTTTTCTTATTTCAGAGGCAAATCATGTTCACTTTAGAAAATTCATATGAGCAAAATGAAGGAAAAAGGTATCCCAAATTCCACTGCTAGATAACTACTGAAACTATTTGGAATCTGTTCTTTCAACGTTTTTTTCTGGACAAAAAGTACATAAACATGTTGTAAAACCAGCAGATCGAATGGCGCACACCATTTGATAACCTGATCTTTTTCAATCAACAGCTTCCCATGTCGGTAAATGAACCTATCTAATGTCACGATGGGTGACCTCAGTGGACACCCGGGGTGGCTGGCCGCAGGCACTCACGGTGCCCTCCCTGGGCAGAGACTTGAATGAAGCTTCTTCTGTCTCCGCTCTGTGAACCAAGATTCAGCGAACCGCTCTGTAGGCAAACCTTTCTGCAGCCCACGCTCGTTCCCTTACCGTGAATTCTCACCTCCAATCTTAATTTTCTCAAGGGAAAAAAGACAATATGATTAAAATGTTTAAATCAGAAGTGGCCTCTTTGGCATGGAGAGGGGAGAGGCTGAAACTCAGCATTAAGCTTTTCGTTTTTGATTCTGCTCAACCTCCACATTTATCTCCAGTGCAAGCTCATTTCTAGTCAACAAACTTAAAAAATAAGCAAGACACAGTGCCCGTCCTTAAAGAGATTACAATCTAGTAGAGGAGATAAGAGACAATAGTATCTCTAATAAATGAGGTTTTTTTTTCCTCTCATTTAACACAAAAGTACCTGCTTTACATGATAAGAAGTAAGAGCAAGATGGACATAGTAATAATAATAATAACCAATGTTTACGAGAACTTTCTAGCCTAGGAACGGTTCATATATTCAATGGCATACTGTATTATATTTATTCTTCATCCCCACATCAGTCTATGGGGTAGTACTACAGTGATGAACATTATATTGTTGTGGAAATTGAGGCCACAGGAAGTGAAGGAACTTGCCCGAGGTAACCCAGCTAGCGCGTGGTGGGGCTGGGATTGGATTCCAGGCCCTTTGAAGTTAGTGCTGCTGAAGCGCACGGTCACTGGACTGGGAGAGAGTGTCCTGGTGACCTGGAATAAGCACTGTGATTGAACCTTCTAGGTACTGCGGCCTGAAGACCGGCTTGAGGACGTCCCCCATGGTGGGGTTCATGGTGACCAATCAGTGCACCTTCTACACACCTGTCGGCTTCCCTCAGGTCCCAGTGGCTGCTCTGGCCGTGGAGAAAGTGGGTCACTCCAGTGTGCATTACCGCCTCGCTCTGTTCCCACCTACGCCCACCAAGGAGCCGGCCACAGCAGATCAGCATGACCTCAATGACGGCTTTTTCTTTGGCCACCCCAAGCTGGCGCAGTTTGACGCTTTGGCCTCTACTACCGGGTCCTCAGTCCACGTTTTTGTGAATCCAGCCACCAACAAGCCAACAGGCCTTCCAGAAGACTTCAGGAGGGGCCTCCTGAGGCTTATGAGGCCGGCTTCCTTGTGAATTGTCTGGAGGTGCAATTGTGCCTGTCAGAGAATAAAGTTTAGATCACTCTCTAAACGACTTCTTTTCGTTCCCTAGCATATACGATTACCAGAGTCATCTAGCTCCACTGATGAGGCCTCTCCTTGCCTCAGACCCAGAACAACGTGTTTTATACCACACAGGGCCTCGCTGAGCCCTCAACCACCCAGTGAGGCAGGGACTGCTCTTGCGCAGAAGAGGAAAAAGAGGTCTGCAGAGTGGAGGTAAGTTGGCCTAATGGCATTCAGGTGGTGAGTCCCTTGGACTGAAAAGCCCACCTGGGCGTGCTCACTACAGTCACTTTAGTCTCCAACATCTGAGGAGCAGGGCCATGTACATCCTGTGGTTTGTGATCACTAATCTGATCTGACTCATTCAATGTCCTCAGCTTCTTATAGATAATAACCACATGGACTCTTCCTTTTTTAAAAGATATGAATTTCAAAACACACACACACACACACACACACACACACACACACACACAAACTGCCTTTCACCCTGCTGGTGAGGCTCAGTGGATTGAGCATCATCCCATGGACTGAGAGGTCCTGGTTCGATTCCTGGTCAGGGTACATGCCCAGGTTGTGGGCTCAATCCCCAGTAGGGGGCGTGCAGGAGGCAGCTGATTGATGCTTCTCTCTCACATTGATGTTTCTATCTCTCTCTCTAAAAAAATTTCACCCTGGCCAGTTTGGCTCAGTGGTTAGAGCGTTGGCCTGCAGTCCAGAGAGACCCGGGTTCGGTTCCCACTAAAGGCACGTACCTCAGTTGCAGTTTGTCCCCAGCCCTGGTTGGGTCGTGCGGGTGGCAACCACTTGATGTGTCCCTTTCATGTCGATGTTTCTCTCTCTCTCTCTCTCTCTCTCTCTCTCTCTCTCTCTCTCTCTCTCTCCCCCCTACTCTATCTGAACAAAATACCAAAAAATGTCCTCGGGTGAGGACAAAAAAAAAAAAAAAATTCAATAAAAACCCCTTTCTTTTATGTATTTAAAACAACAAACACACCTTTGACCATTTTCTGATAAATCGAAAAGCTCTATCAGTCACTGACACCATGCACTGAAGTTTGAAAGTGGGAACAGATAGAATCTTTGATGCCGGCACACATAAGGATCCTACTCTGGTGTAACAATAAAAAGGTTTACTATTTATTAAGCGGTGACTATACCAAGTGCTTTATGGTCATTACCTTAAAAAAATCCTTACATTGCCATTTTTCAGATGAGAACGTTGAGGCTTTAAGACAAAACAACTACAACTGAGGGAGGAGTTCTAGTCTAACCTCTGCCTCGATCCTGCGTCAGGGAAAACTGAAGGTTTAAGCTCTCCGGGCCTCAGTATCCTCTCTGGAAACGTGACCCTGAGTGACCTTTTCAGTTGGATTCCCTCAGTGGTTTTGGAATACCTGAAGACTCTTGATTTGCTTTTTCTGAATTTAGTTGCAAATCCCTGCCACATATAAATAGCTTTAGAATACTGTCACCAAGATAAAAACAATGTTATCTGTTATTCTTTTATCATTTAATCCATTCAATTTCACCTACTAATAGATCAAATTTGAGGTTTTAAAAACACTTTGCTCAATAATTCTGAAACTCAGAAAGACTGTTAACCAGCAGCCTACTGTTTGTAGGCATTGATTTATCTGACCTCTGGCGTTTGACCTGCTCAGAAAGGTCACCAGGGAGAACTCCTTGAACTTGTGTCTCATGTTCCAGTCCTCGCAGTTCTTGGCGCGTGCATATCTCACCTCATCTCTGTAGCTACTCCAAGAGGTGGGTATTATTATTATTGTTGTTGTTATTGTCCCCATTGTACAGTCAGAACAGGCTCTGTGCAGGAAGGTGACCTGCCAAGGTCACAGAACTCCGGTGAGGCAGCTAGAGCTTGCATCTGGCACGGCTATTGGACCCGCCACCAACTCTGCATCGCAGCCCAGTGGTCCTGAATTTTCAAATTACAAGATGCGTTGCCATGAACCACAGCAACTTTGCAAAAGCAAAAATTAAACCTCTGTTGCTTTAAACCACTGAGGTGGCAGAGTTATTTGTTACCGCAGCACAGCCAGCTCCCCCTCTTTCTTACAAGTAGCAACTTCATAGGCTTATTGTGAAGGTTACATGAGAAATGTATGTAACTACTTGGCATGGTGCCTGGTGCGCAGCTACTTGTATTTATCACGGGAGAAAAGAAATGATTATGTGCTCCCACTACACACATTTCAAGGTAGGAAAGTAACCAATCCCGACATTCATTTCATTTCATGGGCTTCTGTGGGGAATCAGACACTGTTTTCTATTTTATGAGGAAAATTAGAGGTACTTACAGCTCACAGAACAGTGGGCATCCCCAGCCCTGGCTCCCAGTGCTGAGCAGGATGAAGGGTACAGACAGATTTTTTGAATAGATCTCCACGTTTGTGTAAATATCATGACTTTAAGTACTGATGACACAATCTTCCCACTGCTCAATTTGTAAATACTTCAGTGTGAGCCGAAGCAGTGCCCATTATGGCACGCACTGGTTTTTAGTGGGAAATTCTAGCACTAGAAACTCCGGAGAGCCAAATCTAGGTGCACATACTGGGAGGAAGCTGCATTCTATTATAAAGGTGGCAGAATAAATATAGAAAGACTTTTAAAAATCCAGTCAGCCATTCACTACTTCACTCCACAATGTTTTAGAGCCGAGCTAACAAGCAGCTTCGTATGTGCTCGGGCACCTCTGAGCAGTTACGATTCACGCCGTTGCTAACAAGAAACAGCGACAACCATCCAAGCAGGTGAAGAAAACCTTCAGGTGCTGCCGTCTTCTAACTACATTTTTGTTACACTCGGATTCATTCCAAAACCTACAATAAGACAAGAGGTACAAAATGTTCATGTTTTGCTTGGACAGATTTTGGCTCCTAGCAATTAATGTTTTCAGTCACATTAAGCATATAAATAATGCTTTGTGACATTACAGTATTTCTCATTACAGATCGATTTTGTAGCATTTGTTCATAATCAGACTTGAAATGTTACCTAGAAACAAAATATGTTTTCCTGGAAGCAGTCAGACCGTATTAGAAATCGAAGGCTTTACAAATCACGAAGTTAACAGCTATGTCCCCTAGCTAAGGTTTTCTTTCCTTAAATAGTGTTAAATTCAGCCCCAGAAGCACGCCTCTTTGAGGGTTCTCCTCTTATGTGCTCTGACTTGAAGGGGAAAACTTAGTGCTCAAACTATATTTAGCATCTTGTGTATAACTTAGTAAATCAACCGATATTCCCCTTTGGGGGAAAAATAATGTTAGCACCTTTTAAAAGTGTTATGCTTATAATTAGGTGACACAGTATTATTTTCTCTTTTTTTTTGAAGCCAAGTTTTCACTGCACCAAAAAAAAAGAAAAAGTAATCGGCCTATTTTGAGGTAAGAGGAGCCATTCTCGTTTTTTGACCACACACCATGTACTGTGGGTGAGCAAAGAAATAAAGGAAACATGTATCTGATTTGGAGACTTGAAGCAGTAAAAGTTTCTGTAAAACATAGATTTTGGAGCCAGGAACATCTGGATTTGAATTTTGTCCCTGCCATTTAATCACTGTGGAATCTTGGGCGACATTAGTTACCTTCTGATTCAATGAACATTTTTTCTTTTTAATTATTTCCAGAAAAAAAAATCCCCCCCCCACCCCCCCGAGGAATATTCTCTTTGATTAAAACTAACAACCGCCCTGGCCGGTTTGGCTCAGCGGTTAGAGCGTCAGCCTGCGGTCCTGAGAGACCCGGGTTCGGTTCCCGCTAAGGGCATGTACCTCGGTGGCAGTTTGTCCCCGGCCCTGGTCGGTTGTGCGGGTGGCAGCCACTCGATGTGTCCCTTTCACATCGATGTTTCTCTCTCTCTCTCTGTTCCTCCCCCCCCCCCCCACTCTACCTGAACAAAAAATGGAAAAATGTCCTCGGGTGAGGATAAAAAAAAACAAAAAACAAAACAAAACAAAAAACTAACAACCTATCGTTCTTCAGCAAATAACTGCAGTACTTACTGTAGGCTAGGCTCTAATGTTCTGAATTCCTGGAGATAGAGTAAATCAGACAGACCAGATTCTATTGGTCTCACAGAGCTCATATTCTAGCCTGGGGTAGGATGGACAATGTACAAACAAGATGTCCAATGGTCCAGTTGGCTGACTGGTGGTCCCCCAAAAGACCTGGTTACCTCCTAACCCCGGAACTTGTGACTATGACCTTACTTGGAAAAATGGTCTTTGCGGCTATAACTTAAAGACCTTAGGATGTGGACCTTACATCCAATGACAAGTGTCCTTATAAGAGATACACAGAGGCCCTGGCTGGTTTGGCTTAGCGGTTGAAGCCTCAGCCCGCGGACCAGAGTCGTGGGTTCAATTCCGGTCAAGGGCCCTGATTGGGGTCATGTGGGAAGCAACCAGTTGGTGTCCCTCTCACGTAGATGTTTCTCTCCCCCTCCCTCCCACTCTATCTGAAGATAAATGGAAAAATACCCTTGGGTGAGGATTAAAAAAGAGACACAGAGGGAGGAATAAAAGGGCCATAAGGTGGTGGCAGAGATTAGAGTGTTCAGACCTAGATAAAGAATGCCTGCAGCCACCAGAAGCTGGAAGAAGCAGAGGGATTTTCCCCTAGTGCCTTTCATTCCAGACTCTGGCCTCTAGAACAGAGAATAAGCTTCGCTTGTTGTTAGCCATTGCTTTGTGGTAATTTGTACGGCAGCCTTAGGAAACAAATATCCATGGTAATATGTATGAAGAAAATAAAACAGAAGCGAGAGAGGGATTCCAGTGGGTATGACAGCCATGCACTGCGTGACGATTCTTTGGTCAATGATAGACTCCATACAGGATGATGGTACACATCAGCCCAGGAGTGTAGTAGGCTAAACCATCTAGGTTTGTATACATGTGCTGTGATGTTCACACAATGAAATCGCCTAACACATTTCTGGAACATATCGTTAAATCACACATGACTTACTATAAATGGTGGAGTCTGGAAGGCTCTATGGAGGAGGTACTGTCTGAATTACTGGATGAGATGGAGTTCTGAATCTGAGTGGACAGCAAGTACAAAGGGTCTAACCCAGAAATGAACTTGGTGTGTTCAAAAAACCGAAGTCAGTGGGGCTGGCCATAGAGGGCAAATGGGAGAGTGGTAAGGTGATGCTGAGGTAGGAGGGAACCAGATCCCATACAGCCTCCTAGGGCTGAGTGAGAAGTCTGGATATTCTAATGCAAACCCATCTCAGATCTTACAGTTAAAATGACCTCCAGAGTCCCTAACTAGCATAGAGAAAGAAGGAAGTATACATTTATTAAGTAAACACCAGGATATTCTGAACATTCTAATACTTGGATTTAAACAACCCAGACCCTTTATAATCTTACTCACGTAACCCCTTCCTACTTAACTCAATATGAATAATAATGTCACAGTACATGTGAAGTCAAACACCAGCAGGACACAGTATAAAATCCTCAGGAGGATCCTTTATTTCATTCACTTCCTACTTATAAGGTAGCATTTCAACCTTATAAAAGTTGTTTCCTCCAGTTCAGCCAATGGCTTGTATCACCTCGTTCTAATTCCATGGCGCAGGTGGTCCCCAGGCAGGTCCGAGGGTCCTGGAATCACGGGGACTGGATGCAAAGGTTCCAGCCTCCCAGCCCATTCCTACTGATGATCAATGAGAAAATGGATGGTATTTCTATTCACTTTCTCAAAGATCAGACTTACCTTGTTTATGTCAAGATAATTTTCTCAAGTGTAACTTGTTTACCATTATTCCTATAGTTCTTCAAATGTTTGACATTCTTCTTCTCCTTACCTCTAAAATTCCTTTCTTTTTCACATTATCTTTCTTGATTGACTTTTTATTATAAAAACAAAAACAAAAAACAGAGCTCCGATTTGTTGTGCACATTACCAGGTCCATACAGAAAAATGCACAGAGGTTTTATATACCATTTACAAGAGATCAGAGTACAAAGTCAAGAAGGAAGAATCTGAAGTATTAGACTTGTTCTGAAATAAGCCTACATGGATGACACCACTGTAGCTTCATCAGAATTTTCCCTCACCAACTAGTCAATGTGGCAAATGTAAAAATTTGCAGTTAAAATACATAGCAGTCACTCCATATACTATTCCCCAACCTATTTAATTCTGAACAGGGTTTTTTTTCCCTAATTTTATTCCCCTGTAAATTTAATGGAAAAAAATGAACAAGTCATGTTTTAGCAATGTATCCCCACAAAGCATTCTGATTTACTGAGATCTTAATGTATTTGTAGAGATACCTTACTGAAAGAATAGCAATGACTATTTTCCAGTAAATATTGAGCGAGAACCAATTTCAACCCCAATCCGAGGTTATTAACCTCTGTTTCAGGGACACAACTGCTATGAATTAGACAACTGTAGCAACCACTCAAGACAATAAAAGCCTAAGACAGTCTGCCATATTGCGGTGAGTGTGTATCAAAGTTCATCATGATTTTTTGTGAGGTCTTCTCCATAATTGGTAGCTTGGCTTCCAACAAACATGTTCCAGTTCTCTAATATCTCCTCTTTAGTTAGCTTTTCATCCTGTAGGAGAGAGGAAAGAGCTGTCATTGAAGCTCTAGTAACTGAAGAGCCCTGTGTTATTTCACTGATTTGTAACATTTGAAACCCTGCACTTAATAATTAAGAAGCTGCGAGGTAGCTCTTTCACCTACCATTGCCGCACTGCAAACCTCCAAACTGGAATAGCCTCCTGTTGTAAAGGCTGTGCTAAAATGTATCAGGCGAGTCCCTGAGGAATCCAGATGCTTGAACCCAGCTGTCTACAAGTAGTGCCGGCATTCCCCAAATGGGCCCCGGGGCCCGCCACGCCCCGTTCACGGCCTGACCACCTAACTCACCTGCCTTGAGAGCTTGGGGCAGTGACCGAAGTGGGAAAAGGCAGGGCTTCTTTCTAAATCTTGCTTACTTATTTGGATACGTATCAATTGATACTGAAGTGCTGGGCATAGACCTAGAAGAAGTGTGAGCTTGCCTGAGGATGCCTGGATTTTAATGGGCGGGGCTCCCTTGTGCATGACACATCATGGGTGTTGGGTAAATATCTGCTGATTGAATGAATGGATGAACAAACTTGTCCTAAGGCAACACGGGGTATGGCTCTTAAATCCAAGCCCTGCCCACTGCAAAGTCATGCAATCCTGGGACATGGGAGTGAATGTCAGTCTGTTGGCGCATAGCAGGCTATCCAGGAATGTGTTGGCCTAATGAACTCCTGTGGGTTATCATGGTATTGGGTCAAGTGTACAGATCTCTAAAGTAGGGCAAGAGTGAGAAATGTCAATAAGGCACAGTGCCGCAGGCCAATGCTATCACAAAGCAGCAAACAGAACCAATCTTATGTAAACTGTCTCCCTTCAAGGATCAATCCCAGAAGAATGTGAAATACCCTGTTTTTGTCCGACTCATACACCAGGTGCCGGGCCTCAGCCTGCGCATGGTCATAGTCTTGTGGGAGGATCCAGTGGCGAATCTCATCTTTGTCCAACTTCCCGTCCTTGTTCAGGTCCCGGAATTCGTTAAACTGCTCTCGTTCTGACAAAACCCAGTCTGGCTCAGGGCCACTCTCCTCATGGGAAAACATATCCGCTGGAAAGGAAGGGTGATCTTGGTTACGAAGACAAGTGGAAAGGGCCAGCAAAGGAAACCTGACCTTCCGAGTGTTTGGAAGGGCGATAACCAATCTAGAAACCTAACCCAAACATCTGGTGGCAGTTTCTTGGGAAGAATAATACAATGACTTATCCACTAGGAAGGTCGTTTGGTGGAAGAGAAAGAACTGAATTTAGGAGCCAGAACGATGAATCAGTTCAGTGACTAGGATTAAGTTCCTTAATCAAATGGCTGAGTCTTAAGAAGTGGTCTTGTCTGTACAATGGGGATAATTATTTACAAATCAGTGGGTTATTATGAAGGTCAAGTGGGACACTTTCCGTGAAAGCCCTCTACAACCCGAACTAGTGCTATGCAGGTGAAAACTCATCCTAATAACCACCATCAAGCACTTTCTATAGTCCAGATTCTGTAGAATGTACTTTACATACTTTTTTTTTCATAACAATCCAAGTAGGTCGTGTTATAATTCCCATTTTATAGATGAAAATGCTGAGGCCACAGGAAGTATGAGCTCGAGGCTGCAGAGGAACAGGGCACTCTGCTTCCAACCCATGGTCTTATCCACCCTGTTCATTCCTATTGTTTATATCATTTCCAAAGGGCTTTCGCGTGTATCATTTTATTTCATCCTTATAACAATTCTATAAGATAGATCGTTGTCCCTGTTCTCTAAAATGGCAGGGAGAAGAGAAAGAAGGCAAAGTGTATGCACTGTTTGCTAAATCACCAGATCTTCTTGGAAAAGAGCTACCCTATGGGCAGTGTCTCTTTAATGGAGACACAGCCTGAAAGTGGCAGGTGGTACGGGGAGCGGGCGGTGAAGGTACAAGAGAGGCCAGACCCTTGGTTCAGCTACAAGGCAGCACACCTGACATCTGCAGTTTTTGAGAGAGGGCTGTCACATACATTAGCTAACTTGAACTCTATCCAGTCCTGGAAGCGTGGGTGCTGTGCATTCCCATTTTACAGATGGGGAAACTGAGGCTTAGAGTGATTGTGTGACTCCCCCAGGGTCATAGAGCTAGTAAGTGGAGAAGCCAGGGCTCCTTATTCCACTCGGTTCTTCCCACCCACTACACATCACCACAGGCCCAACGCCCCCATCTCCCTCTCTGCTCAGTGTAAAGCATGGAATGTTGCCTTTAGGCAAAGCAACCGAGTTTCGCCCGGCTTCGCACTGTTTCAATGCAGAGGTCAGGAGGGCCAGGAAGAGCACACACCCCATTCAAAGTGCTGCACCGTTTTAATCAGCCAGCCTTTGCTGTCAGTCTAATCCCACCCCCACTGTCCAGGTGCCTGCGGCTCTGAACCTGCCCTTGGATGGACCTGGTAAGAGGAAGGCCCTGCTGCTGCCTGCACTGACCAGCAGACTGTCAGCATCTGTTACTCTACAAAGTGAGTGCCACCAAGATCACCTGAACTGTGGCGAGAGCGACCTCTGCTACGCCACACACAGACAGAACAGCGTTAAGTTCCTCGGATCAAATACAATTCCTAGTGACCAGGAGCAATTCTGCTCTTCATTACTGAAGGCACTTGTTCTAGGGTAAGTGGTGGCAGAGTCATACACCCACAGACCAAAGACCGATGCCACGTGGGCTCTAGTTTTGCACTGAAAAGTAAGTAACTACTTCTATTAAATGTGTACAATAATGAGATTTATCCCATCCCACAAATGATTTTTTTATCCTCACTCGAGAACATTTTTCTATTTTTTGTTCAGGTAGAATGGGAGGGAGAGAGAGGAACAGAGAGAGAGAGAAACATCAACATAAAAGGGACACATTGAGTGGCTGCCACCCGCACGAACAACCAGGGCCGGGGACAAACTGCAACCGAGGCACGCACCCTTAGCGGGAACTGAACCCGGGACTCTCTGGACTGCAGGCCGACGCTCTAACCGCTGAGCCAAACAGGCCAGAGCAATCCCGCAAATGATTTGCCAGCTTTCGCCTTATTGAGACTTGGGCAAAGAGGAGGTGTCATGAGAAGAGCTCTCACCAGCAACAGTGGGTTCTGACCCAGGTACCTTCATGTGAGTCCCCTTCAGCCAGTGCTGTTACCTGAAAATGCACTTCCTGAAGTTGCTTAAGTGGAGCCCTTCAAAACAAAATGCTAGGTATGGTACTTTCGGTGAAAGGACCAAAAACAAAACAGCTATATTATGGGGCAATTATGCAAGAGCACTTACCTGTCAGAAGGAATGCTTTTTCGCTCATAGTGCTGTTGATCACAGCTGTGTCTACTTAGCGCCTGTAGGCCCCACTGATCCAGTCTGATTTTAGTCTTTCCCCGAGACTGTCTAGACTCCCTGTAAATCTATGGGATCTCCGATCTCATCCCGCAAAGATGAAACTACACAGTGTCATGAAAGGCACCTCTCAGAACCGTGGGGCCAACTGCCGACCATCCTAAAGGCAGGGGCCAGCCTCTGGCCTCTTCTCCACTGAATGAGGTCTATAATTTCTCCCTGAAATCGCACCGCTAGGGATGGTGTGACATGTCCATCCCTCCTGGGAGGTCACAAGAGTGACGCCTACAGACTTGTAGCTGTTGCTAAAAGAGACGTCTGGAGAAAGGAGCCAAACGGTGGTGGAGGACCGGTGCCCCGTTGGGACAGCTGAGCAGGACTGCAGGCTGCACTCACCAATATACTCATCCTGATCCACAAACCCATCCCCATCCTTGTCGATGTCTTCCAGAGTTTCCTAGGAAGCAAAGTGGAAAACAGAATGCAAGATGGCTTTGTGCTCTCAGGAAGTCTTAAGAGTTCTGACGACTGTCCTCCTTTGTCTGGCTTTTATGGCTGAGCGCTTGGTGACTTTGGGCTTGTCTCCTTACCTCCCTGGGCATCAATTGCTTATCTGTGAAAAACTGGCAGTGGTGCCTGTTCTTTCTCCCCCATCCCGCAATTTTAATAGCAGAACACGCTCTTCAAATGAAAATGTACGTGGAAGCCCAGAGACGCTCTGATTATATCTGGAAGCCCCACCAGGCCAACCTTCCAGCCAAATCACCCCCCTGGGGTGCCTGTGAGGAATCAAGCCTGCGAACCACTGGACCAGATGGTCAGAGAGACAGATTCTAGTGCTACCTGGACAATGAACACCGAATTGGTGTCAGAAAAGAATAAACAGCAGGCAATTAACAATAAAAGTATCTGACTTTTGAATGTATTATATTCTGTATTAAGTATATTTGTCTTTCTAATCAGGCATTTGGCCATGGTGAGTACTTAAATGCGTTTACTGTCCACAGTCTCAGCAACTCAAAGGCACATAATCCACTTGTGGCTAATTCTTCACCTCCACCGTCTTCTGGCAAATCACCCACCACTAAGTGAATTTTGGGCAGTAAAAAGAAATGATTCTTAGAGCCACTGCCCAGTCCTTAGGGTCATGGCGGCCATGAGGACGAAGCAGGAGGCGAGAGTGGACCAGCCACCAACTGGATCACTAAAACAGTCCTGAGCTGGTTATAAACAGAAGCTTTAGCCACTTGTTTCTCAGCACAGAGGCCACTGGAACTGGCTCAGGTTATCTGACCAGGAAGCAGGTGATGGCATTATTTTATTGCTGTGGAAAATTAAGGCACTTGGGATCCCAAAAGACAAAGTGGAAAACAACTACACTCAGAGGCCTTACACGCACCGCTAACCCTCAAAGCCTACAGGATCTGATCTATTCACCCTCCGGAGACCCCCGCTAAGGGGAGCGTCCTTTCCAGCCATGGTTTTTAAAGTTCCTGTATGGTTTAATTGAATGCATTCAAGTCTTTTTTTCTAATTCCTTCAAAGTTGAGAAATGGACAGAGACTAGCTAGTTTCTTTATCAAACCCATTTGCTCTTCCTGAGTACATATCTAAACTGTATCTCCCAGCCTCATCACACCTAGGAGGGGCCAGGGGAATGTAAAAGGAAGTGTCATTTTGGGGTCAGAGCAATAAAGGTAGACTGCCTTCTCCTTATTTCCTTTTGTCTACCAGCTGGCTGTTACCAGGATGACCTTGAGGCCACATGATGGTGGAGTACAGGACGGGATCAGCCTGCCTGCCTGATAGCTCTTCGAGGAGAACTGCCCAGAAAACCCACCTGACTGGGACCATCTGCACTGCACGTGGTTTAAGCAAAAATTAAGCTCTGATTGTGATAAATGGCTAGGACTGGGGGCTATTTGTTATAGCACCTCACCGGCCCTGACTCATTTACTGGGTAGAAAGGTATACCAATGCACTCCACTTCTGGGTCTTTTTCCAATTCCCCTCAGGAGGAAGAACATTCTCTCTTTGGAAGACAAGACAAGATTTTGGTGTAGCTTTTGCCCTGTTCTTTTGCCAGCCCAGGAACTTCTTTTATCTTACCAAAACCACAATTTCTTTCATATGCTCAAACTCCTCAGGGTGCAGAAAGGCGGTGAACTCCTCCCGAGTGGCTGTCTGGTCACTGTTGAGGTCTGCAGCTTTGAATCTTCTCTCATCCCGTGGCAGCATCTTTTTAAAGGTGTGATGATCTGAAGAATCATGAAATTCTGCAGGAATTCCTGCAGGATGTGCACACAAACGTTTCAACCGGGCTGCTAGGAAAAGCATTTCCTTCCAGATCACCCATCCTTCATGCCCCACAGTACACATGGGACTAAAGGTCCTGACCCACTGAGTTCTTTGAAACAGTTTATTTCAGACTGCCTCTAGTATCTGCCCCTTCATACCGTCCCACAATACAGGCCCTACTGGCGTATCAGGTCACTACAGCAGTGGTTAAGAACACAGGCTTCAGACCATACTAAAGCCATTCTTCTCTTTGCTGAACCTTGCTTTCATCGTATCAGTCTTTGCTCCAGAACATGCAGAGGCTTCCTAGTACCCACATGTTGTCTAAATGCTTCTGCCTGGTTTTCAAGACCTCCTTTAATCTGTCTGTGAGTATGTGCATCTCTGGTTCTTCTCAGACCTGTCCCCTTACTGTCTCCACCAAGTACCCAGGGGTCTGCACCCTGTGCTTTGCACATACTCTTCCATCAGTCCCCAAACAGGTGTGTCTTACATCCAAATGCTGCCCATTGCCAAATGCATCACCGTATCTTTGCCCTTCCAGTTGACCCCTCCCCCCTTCTCCCTCATCTCTCTCCAAATGTAAATCCATTCTTCAACTGAGGCCCAGCTCCCACGCTGCACCCTACCGGAAGCCTTCCCAGAATGCTCCAGCAGCACTGTGAAACTGTACCACAGACATGCTGCCTCTGCTTTGTTCCGAGTGTCCCCGAGATCGTAGCTTAGGCAGGGCAGCAACCTAAGTCCCTTTTCATTAGACCCTCGACCACTGCCACTGTTCACCACCTACGACTTCAGTTAGAGTAAGCAACTCAGTACCTTCTTAGTAAGCAGCGCAGGATGTTACACAAGCAGGGCCTACCTAGGAAGTTGTGACATCCCCCTGAAGGGGGTGCATATGAGGAGGGAAGAGAGAGTGTCCCGCAAGAAGCTTGTTGTGTGGGCCCCGGCTGCGTGCTCTCTCCTGAAGTACCTCTTACCTAGGTAGTAACCATAGGTGGCTTGTTTGTATTCTTCCCAGGAAACTTTATCGTCTTTGTCCCGGTCATAATCCTTCCAGACTTTAGCAACATTATCATAGATGTATCTTTTCTGCACCCGTTTGATCCAGGTTTTCAGCTCCTCAGTAGTGACAAAGCCATCCCCATCACTATCAATCCGATCCACAATCTTCCTGTAGTTCAAAAATAAACAAACCCACAAGGCTATTATCAAGGCTTGTGTGATCCTGACCCAGAGAAAGATCAAACGCCTGCAGGATCTAAAATGCATGAACACAAACCCAATAATCAAAAGGTGCTGGAAAGGATCTCAAAGTGTATCTCTTCCAAGGATGAGATGCCTTCCCCCACCCAGTGCCAGTGGCAGACTCTACCAGTGCGCCATGCCCTGTGTCCTGATAAACTTGGATGTGGCCTCAGAACCCTTCTTAAGACAGTGCTATGCCAATAGACACGACCAATTGATTAGTGGTCATTTGTAAGGTGAAACCTAGCTGTCTTAGAATAATGGAAACTGAGGCTGAAAGAATTTGAATCACTTTTCCAAGATCACACAGCTAGTATTTGCTACAACTGGGTTAAGAACTGTCTCTAGGTCCAATCTAAAACAATGGAAAGTTCTATGTAAACCAAAAGATAAGTGAGTTTTTTTCTTTTTTTTTTAAACTCACTACTTTGGACCCAAAGACTTGACACATAAAAGCAGGAGACCAGCCCGTCTGGTGTGGCTCAGTGGCTGAGCATCAACCCATGCACTATGAGGTCGTCAGTTCAATTCCCGGTCAGGGCATATGCCCAGGTTGTGGGCCCGATCCCCAGTTGGGAGCATGCAGGAGGCGGCCCATCGATGTTCTCTCTCATCAATGTTTCTATCCCTCTCTCTCTCTCCCTTCCACTCTCTCTAACATCAATAAAGGAAAAAAAAAATTAAAAAAAAAAAAAAAGCAGGAGACCAGATCTTGTTGGATGAAGCATATAAAATGTTGAGGATGAATGAGCCTTGATATCAAGGAAACCTACTCAATAAACTTGACCAGCTGAGCAGCTGCAGGAGTCTGGACCCTCTGCGCTCAGGATAAAGACTACTCGTGTCTCCTGCTCAGCTGGCCCAGGTTCCAGCAATTTCCCACTGGACTCCACTGAGGTACCCCAAACGCTAGTCCAGAGCAAAGGTCAGGCTGGGAATTCACAGTGTCCACCTCTAGGCCAAAGGGTCCAAGTTAGGGACTCCATCCCTGTAGGAAATGTCAAAGATACCCATAAGCTATTTCCAACGTTTAAAAAAGTTTTACCCTGGCAGTCCATTTACTGAGATGAGGTCATACAGGCTGATTAGGGATTTGTTTCTTTGCTTTGGGCTGGAATTCTGTCAACTCCGTGGTAAAATTTCTTACTGTGAGCAGAAACTGTGATTGGCGGTTTCTCTTTGATTTATTAGGTGTGGGAAATAAATTCATTAGTTCTTAAGTCTCCATCTCCCACCTGGATACCTGGGTAGCCCAAGCACTTCTTTCTCAGGAAGGTGTAACATTACTAACAGCTTTAATGTATCCTTTCATTTACAACTGTAACATCTCCAGATTGGAAGACTAAGCCTCAGGTATCTGCAAGCTTCCTTCCAGGAGACCACAGTCAGACACAGAAGAATTCTTTCAACACTGCAGTATTCAGCCTACCTACTATGTGCCAAGCACTGCTCCAACCCTGGGGACACAGAGGAGACATGCCCATCAGGCATCCAAAGTCAACAGAATCTTAGACCAGCAGAGACTTAATGTCAGACTGTGAACAAATTTTTGTGAAAAAGACAGCATCTAATCTACACCAAATAAATGTCCAGGACATAGTCAGCCTGACCCACAGTAAGACTTAATGAATATTTATTGGAAAAATAAATATGATCTTAACTCTCTCTCTTAAAAATCTCAGGAGTGAGATACTGGGAAAGGCAGCTATGATGTAGGAAAAGCCAATCCGTCCAGTCAGAACACCTGGACCCTAGTCCTGTGTGGTAGCGGACAAATGTCTTGACTCTTTGAGTCTCAGTTTTTCCAACTGCCAATGGGAACACCAACTTTATATCGTGAGGAATCAAGGAGAGGAAGCATGTCTTTACTCACTAAGGACAATAGAACTCAACAAATACCTGGCAGGTAACAGAAATGAACCAAGTCTCCAGGCCAAGCCTAGGGCAACCTGGAGATCCCCTGCCAGCTGCCAACAAGGGTGCCCCGCGGTGCTTCCTACAATGACTGCCACATGGAATAATGGTCCAAGGGTGTCAAGGGAAACCAGAAATTGAGGTCTATATCAATTTGATTGAGGTGAAATCGTTCAGATTTTTTTTTTAACCCTCACCCAAAGATATTTTTCCATTGCTTTTCAGTTAGAGTGGAAGGGAGAGAGGGGGAGAGAAACATCGATGTAAGAAAAACACATTGATTGGTTGCCTCCCACACACCCCCCACCAGGGCTGGGGATCAAACCTGCAACCCAGGTACATGCCCTTGACTGGGAATTGAACCCGCGACCCATTGGTACGCAGGCTGACGCTCCAACGGCTAAGCCAAACCGGCCAGGGAGAAATCGCTCAAATTTTAAATGTTGGTGATTAATTCCCACTTCTAAGATTGTCACTGCACATAGCCTACGGGTCCCCACTTTGCAGCCCTCTGGATTAGGTGTTTCCAGGGAACTCCAAACTGTCACGTTTTTAGGATCAGGCCAGGTGATGGTGACAGTTACCCAGATCCAGCCATGTTCCTCCCTCAGCAACCCAGACTTGGAGGGGATTACTGTACCAGGAGCTGTGGACAGAGAGGTGACTTTTCATGCTCCGCCATCCCATACCACACCCATCATTTCCAACCCTCTGCTCTCCCCCCACCTCTGGCCTGGATTCACCTCACAGATGAGCAGTGCGTCTACTACACATCCAGTGACCCAGAGTCATCTGAGCCCCTGCTCCCCTCCCTCCACCCCATGCTGAGTCAAGAGCAAGCACTGCCAATTTCTCCTCCCACATGATTCTGTGTTCACCCTCTCCTGCTCTCTGGACCAGAGTCCTGGTTCAGGTGCTCATGGCCACGATCTTTCACTGGTCTCCCACTGTGCCTCTGTTATGTTCTCCTCCCTACTGCCAGTCTGACTTTCCTAACAAGAATTTGAGGTGATGACATTTTGACCACATAGAGGAGAACATCTAAACTCCACCTCTCAGAAGTCCTTCCTGCTCTGCTCTTGGTTTCCCCCCTACTCTCACCTCCCACTTCTTCGGCCCAGTCCCTTTATTGTCCCGATAACTCTCATCCCCCAGAGCAGGTTTCAGAACCTTTAGAAGTGGGCTGTTCTCTCTTCAGGAATGCCTTTCCCTGCTGGTATGCCTGGCAACCTCTGAGTCACACCACAAGCTGAGATCCATTCCTAAACCCCCAAGCCTCTCTCTCCAACCCTACCCTTAGGGGCTCCTTCTCCTGAATGTGCTGGCTGTAGTTTTTATGTGCCATCGCAGCAGTTATACTCATATCTTCTTGTATCTCGTTTGATTTTAAGCAGTTTGAGGCCTAGAGCATACAAAGGTTTTCTCTTTGCACCTGCCAGGTATCTAACATGACAGCTGGCACACAGTGGCCATTCAGATGTTTGTTGCATGAACTAATGAATGAAGTTAAGGTGTTCATACAAGGGTCAAATGCAGACCAACTCCATCAGCCCCTGCTTTAGCCACCAGGCTTACTCCTCATGATGAAGGCCTTACACTGGACGCTGTAGGACTGCAAACTACACAGTTCTCTTCTCCAAACCCCTACCCCAGCCCTAATGACAGTGATGCAAATGGGGGCCACTCAGGGCCCCAGATTAAATCGGTTTTCAAGTGCCTCAAAGCAATACAATAGACTAAACTCATCAATGGCCCCATTGTTAAATCCCAAAACAAGAAGAGAAAGTACTTCTGGGCAAAATAAAAGGGGATTGTTTGAAGGTGACTTTGAAATTCAAAGATCTTTTTATCAGGCAGATAAAAAGCAGGCAGATGGTGCACCTACACAATAGGTATAATTTAGCCTCATGTCCTAACCAATCCCCTTGGCCTTTGGTGGCCCTCATCAGCACAGAGATGGCTGTGTTCTTTTTTACATGGCAGAACATGGAGATCTCCACCCCCAGGAACCCGGCTCCAGGAGGCCTGGTGCCCAGTAGGCAGGGCCACTGGGACCCTCCCCAGCCCATCCCCCATCAGGCTGGCTACTGATTCCAGATACCTTTCCACAATGCCCCAGTGTCTCCCCGGGGAACCTGCTGAGGGTGCACTGAGATGTCCCAAAGTTTTGTTTCCCGAGTCCGGTTCCTGACTCAACTGCTTTCAACAGTTCAATTTACAACCCACCACACCACCCTCCAGCTTTTTGCCCTCATTTGCCAAAGAACTGGGTGCCTATGCAGACATCTGCTGGAAACACAAACTAGGGGGCCAGTTTCCATTCCCATCCCCTATCTCCAAGTGCCCCTCTCTTCTTCACAAAAGGATTTTTATATCCCTACATCAGGTTTACGGGGTGATGAAGAATCAAGCCTCTCCTTCGTCTGCTCTCCATCCATTTATGTTCATCCTTGAGACCTTCTTAGAAGTATCTCAACTGCTCCTCTTCGGGAGCGGGGCGGGGGGGGGGGGCGGGGAGAGAAACTGGGGGGGGGGGGAGTAGGGAAGAACTCCTGTCACTAAAAGGCCACAGTGGACAAACTCTTCTTTTGTACACTCTCTACCCTTCCTTCTGATGCAACCACGGGAGGGGGCGGGCCCTCGCCGTCCGGGCTCCCGCAGCTTCTGCCACGTTCTCGCCTCCCCGTGGGAAGGCTCCGCTGCCCCAGGGCGCTCTCCACGCGGGATCTCGGCGCCTGCGGGCAAATTTCGCCGGCCCCGCCACGGTGCCAGGCCGGACCCCGCCCTCGGATCCGCGCGCCCATTTCTCTTTCGATTTGTGGCTCGCGCTCCGCGTGGCTCCCGCCCGCACGGCCCTGCGGGCACCTGCAACGCCCCCGAACGCAGCCCGGGCCGCGGCCTCACCCCAGCCTCTCCTTGCTCTCCTCCGAGGTGAGCTGGTCGAAGGTCTTGGAGTCCTCCTTGCCCAGGAAGGCCTCGTGGTCGTACTGGAAGCTCTGGTTGTCCTCCGGCGGCCGCTCGCCCAGCTCCGAGTCGGGCCGCACCACGCGCTCCTTGCGCACGGTGGGCTTGGCCCGCAGCGCCCGGGGGGCCAGCGCCAGCGCCAGCAGCAGCCCCAGGGCGAGTCCCAGGCGGCGGCCGCGGCCACCGCGCGCCATCGTCGGGAGGAGAGAGCGGCCCGCAGGGAGGCACCGAGCGAGCGACGAAAGCGGCGACTCCGGAATGGGGGCTGGGGACGGCGCGGGGGAGGGGACGGGCCAGCCCCTCCGCCAGCGCCCGCCCCATGCCCGAGCGGAGGGGCGCGCCCCGGGCCGCGGACAGGGAAGCTTCGGGCTGCCGCGCTCACGCGCCCACGCGCCCATTGGCCGCCGGGCTGCGGGGCGGGGGAGGCCGGGGCCGCGGAGCCACGTCGCCGGCCCGGTGGTGGGCGCGGGGCTCGGGTTTCGGTTGGGCCCCTCCCCCGCGATCTCAGCAAGAGGGGCGGGCCCAGGCATGCTACGCTTGGGACTGGAGGGCTGGGGGAAGACTGGGAAGAAGTTCTTTGTCAAGCAACAGATGTTCAGGATAAAATTCCTTCTCTCTTCTTCCAGTTCCGGAGAACTCCAAGGAGAGAGGCACTACTCCCACCCTTCGGCTTCCAGCTGGGAGCCAGAACCTCAGTCCCAGACCCCGCCCCAAGATGTGCTCTTGGGCCAAATTCAACTACATTGACCCAAACTAGGGGTCTGATTCCAAACACCAGAGACTAGAAAGAGTCCAGGCTGGGCGTGGTCCCCTAGAAACGAGGGTCGCAAGCTTAGATGTTCAGGAGGACCAAGCAAGTAACTTGAATGTGACCGAGGGACCATCTGAACGGAGCAGCCCGTGCACTCCAGCTGCCAGGAGGCATGCAGACCCACAGCTGGGAGGCAGTCCTGTTTCCCGAAAGAAATCAGGATGTCAGATGTTTGTGCTTTCATTTCTAGATGATGGCAGTTCGTTTTACAAAAACACTACGCGATCCAAACCTTGTCTGTAAATTGCATCTGGAGTAAGCTACCGATACAAATAAGCTCTGTAGAACTTTCTGCAGTGATGGAAATGTTCTCTATCTGGCCTGTCCAGTAGGTAGTGGCCATTGAGCACACCTGATATGTAGCTGGTGTAACTGAGGCACTGGAAATTTAATTTAAATTTAAACTTAGCCACCTGTGGCTAGTGACTATCATATTTGACAGTGCAGGTTTAGGGCAAAAGTTCTTTTTGTGTCACAGTCTTTTGAGACAGACTCATTGAAAGCCATGGACCCTCTTGTGAACATTCATTTATTCAATAAACTGAGCACCTGCTAACTGGCAGGGCTTTGCTGGGTATTGGTTTACTGAGCAGCCATAAATTGCAAATCAGCGTGGCAAGTGCTCCGAGACGAAGGCATTCAGTATTATAGGGGTACAACAGAGGGACAGGGCCCAGACTTGGGGTTGATTAGAGAAGGCCTCCTGGAAGAGGGGATATCTAATTTGAGACTGAAGGTTTAGGATAAGACAAACAGCAGGGGCATGGGTGTAGGAGAAGAGGATAAGGTCCTGTGTGAGCAGGCAGAGAGCAGTAGAGTTTGAGGTAACATCCTTGTGACCCTGTCCCTCTCCCAACTGGCAGTGAGACCTGGAGTCCTTGGTGCCTCACCCCACCTCGGCTGACTTTTCATGGGACGGGATGCTGTGCTTGAGAACAGACATGTGCCCCACTGCCAGTCTAAAGATTGAACTTCTAACAATAGACTAGCATTACTTGGGGTGTAAGAGCTCCTAATTAAAGTGCAAGGGCCCTGAGAGGTAGGTGGATCAGTACCTTCTGGGCTCATCAGGCGAGCGAGATGTGAATTGCTGAGTAGGGGTTGGGGAAGGGAGAAGTGGGAGGAGGCACAGGGAGGAAGAGGTCAGAGTTAGAAAAGGAAGAGGAGGATCAGGAAGGGAATGGGAATTGCCACAGGCACTCTGGGCCCCTGGGATTGATCCAGACGCTGAGAAATGTGGAAGTACCTCCTTTTCTCCTGTTCTAGTTGGCTTCCTGCCAGCGACTAGTGGTTTCCAACAGTTAGACTTTCCCAGAGGTAGTCTTGGCTCCCATGGGGCTTACCAGAGAATTCTAGCAGAGCTGTGAAAGTGAAAGAGTTTATATACTCTCCCCTGGGCTTGCTTGCCTTTGTATTTTCTTATTTTTCTTTTCACCCCTCCACTGTCCTAAGAGAGTTAAACAAGTCCTCTCTACCAAGGAATCAGGAGTAGTGACTAGTACTAGTCAAGGTATTTACTGTGCAATTGCTTTCTTTCGTTTTTAAATTTGCTTTTTATTTCTCCCCATGTGCATGTATGGCTAAGTACAATGTCATTTCTTAGATTAATTTCCATTGTTGATGAGGTAGAGGAACCAAAGCCAGAAGAGTGAAAATTAGCAGCGGTTGAACCAGTGGAAAAGAAAAACGAATTTCAGATAGGTGAGTTGGTCAGTCAGGTTGTGCTGTCTGCTGCAGCTGGCCGTAAGTAACGTCACCAACTACAACAAAATCCGATCAGAAGTCACTAAAACAGTAAGAAAACTTGATCATCTCACGTAGAAGTCTCGAGTCAGATGGATTTCAGATTGGTTAATCCACGTGGCTTGATGACATCATCGGGGACCAGGTTTTCTGTTTTACTTGTTTCCTCTCAGAGGCAGGGGGAGGAGGAGTGTTTCCTCCCTTTATCAGGAGAAAAACTTTCTCAGCAGACTTCCCTTCACATCTCATTGGCCAGACTTGTGTCACATGGCTACGCCTGACTCAGTGACAGACAATGGGTGGAATTTCCAGTGTTGACGTTGACAAACCAAAATTCCCTTCCTGGGGCTGGCAGGTTTCGGGTTCTGCACAAGGAAGAATGAGCTGGGTGGCTGTCTGCCAGAAGGAATCATGTTGAACTATTTTGATGTTTAAAAGCACTTTGTTGGTTTTTTTATCCTCACCCCAGGACGTTTTTGCATTTATCTTCAGATAGAGTGGGAGGGAGAGAAGGAGGAAGAGAGAGAGAGAAACATCGATGTGAGAGAGACACATCAACTGGCTGCAATGTACACGAGCCCAACTGGGGCAGGGGACAAACTGTCCCTGAGATACGTGCCCTTAGCGGGAACTGAACCCAGGACTCTCTGGTCCGTGGGCCGATGCTCTAACCACTGAGCAACCGGTCAGGGCTTGATGTTTATTTATTTTTTTATTTAATTTTTTTATCCTCACCAGAGGACATTTTTTTGCATTTATCTTCAGATAGAACGGGAAGGAGGGAGGAAGAGGGAGAGAGAAACATCGATGTGAGAGAGACACATTGCGTGGCTGCCACCCACATGACCCCAACCGGGGCTGGGGACAAACTGCAGCCGAGGTACATGCCCTTAGCGGAAACCGAACCCAGGTCTCTCTGGACCACAGGCCAATGCTCTAACAGTTTAGCCAAACCAGCCAGGGCCAGGGCTTGATGTTTAAAAGCACTTTGACTATTCTACCTCCTTCTGCTTCTCTACCAGGCAACATTACACTCACTCTTCAAGGCCCAACTCAAATGTACTTTCTCTGAAAAGCTTCCCCTTACCTCCAGTCAAACGCATCACTTCCTCAATATATATGCCCAGAGCCTTTGTATCTCACACATAACACTTTTCACAGTCTGCTTTGTATTAACCAATTTGCCTTAGTCTTTCCTAATTCTGAATTCCTTGAGAGGAAGGACCACCTCTGATTCATGTCTGTGTGCATAAATCCAGGGACTAGCATATTTACCACCTTCTCACAGAGTTGATCCTCATAAGGTAGATTTGCCATGAGGCCAGGGACCCTACCTTTGTGGTTCACCATTGTATATTCAGCATTGAGCACGGTGCTTAGATCATAGGTGCCCAGTGAATATTTTGAATAAATAATAGAAGCATAGCTACCAACTTCTGTATCTGGCCAAGATGGAATGAGAGAGGGACTGAATTTATCTTCCCATTTGAAACAAACAAATAAGCAAGCAAAAGAACAGACAATATATGAAACAACAGTTTTCAAGGCACTGGACACCAGGCAACGAAGGACATTGGAAATTAACAAGGTGAATCCTAGGACTACCCCACTTTACTACCTTGGTAGAGTCTCCAGGCCACAGTGCAGAGCGGAAAGAGGGAACTAAGATGAAGTCTGACCGATTCCCTGAGTTGAAAAGATGAAGGTGACTGTCCAGAGAGAAGAAGTCGGCTACAGTCCTTAGGCGAGAGTACTGGGGAGCAGATAGCAGCAAGAAAGAGCACCCCTTGAGTGTTCAGCGGAGGACTGATAAGTGCATGTTGGGAGGCCAAGGAATGAACCATGTTAAAGGATCAGAAGAAACAGTGAGTGCCAGGAACAGTGCCTGTTCCCACCAGCCGGATGGGAAAGACTCATGACTCAAGGAGCACTGGGTAGAGTACTCAGGCAGCCCCTCCCTCCGTGGCAGGGCATAGTTAGCCCTGGACTGAGTACTGCTCCAGAAAATACCCAGCAAACATAAAAGCAAGACCTGGAAAGATCAAGCTGTCCACATAAATGAACTTTCTCCCAGGGGAAAGAAAAAAAAAAAACTAAAGAAAACTTACAGGAATGTAAAAAATATCTAACACCCAACAAGGTAAAACAATTTCTAGCATCCAATCAAAGACACAAGGAGGCAGGAAAACATGACCCATAATGAGAGTAATCAATTAATAAAAACTGGCCCAGGCTGACACTGATGTTAGAATGAGCAGAGAAGAATGTAAAAATAGTTATTATATTCAATGTCTAGAAAGTTCAGAAGAGACAAGGAAATTACACATACACAAAAAAACCAACACAAGTTGTAAATTGAGAGATTTAAAATACGATGATCTCAGATGAAAAAATACACTGCATAGCTATAAAGGAAAACTATCGTTTTCATTTTCATCACACATAATACTCTGAATCCTACTACAACACTTCACTTCTGATTTCTGACCATCAAATGTGTGTGGGGTTTTCGCCACACCATCAAGCAATTTTGCAACACCACCTGGGTGTTCTACAACTTAACTCAATTCTGACACTATCTACCCAGAGACAGCATCAGATCCCATAGGTTAAGTAAGGGCTCAGTCCCACAAGACTGCCCCCACTTCAGATGTCAATCACAAGTCCTGTTACCTGTGCTCCTGAC